GACGCCTTATCCATTAGGCCACAAGGCCACGGGTTTTCAATGACTTAAGGTATATGAGCAGACAGGTAAACGCTGTGGACTGATAAAATCGTGATTTTCCAAAAGATCTATGCCACTTCGGGAATCCCATGGCTTCCTGAATGATGCTGCAAGCGGTTCCCAAAAGATTTCGACCCTGGCAGGACTCGAACCTGCAATCTTCGGATCCGAAGTCCAACGCCTTATCCATGGCTACAAGGCCCTTGTGTTGTGCTTGCGACTGTTCTGTTCTATACTGTAGTTTTCAAGTGTTTCAGTGTGGTGTGCTTTATCATTAGCCTTGGTAGATTGTCCGTTACTTTGTTTTATGTATCCGCGATCAGTGATTTCACATTTCTAGTTCGCAATCGAATTCGCCCTTTATATCCGTGGATATATTCGAAAGAAATGTTTCCTGTGAATGTCGTATGGAATTAATTCGGAAGCTGTTTTTAAATTGAAATCTTTTCCAAGGAAATCCTTAACTTGAATACAGTTATTCATGCGGTGGAAAATTTGATCGCGCTGATTAAAGGGCATCTAACTAAATATCCGAATTAGATGTAATGTACACAGGTATTTTTCGCGGTCATTGGAAGTAGGAGGTGTTTCAATCATGGAACGGTGAAGTTGTTCCCAGCTGTGCTTCCGATTCATTTCAACTCACTGCGGCTGAAGCTTTCTCTCAAAAACTCCACTGAAACTGTAACGACTATACGCACTTGTCGTTAATCTTTTAATCTCAAACTTGGGTAATTAAACCATAGCCATAGTATTCATAGGAAAATGTAATCGATAATGATAACGACGTAAACAACGACATTCATAATGACGACGGTATTATACTAACAGTAATGATAACATTATTAATGATAACAACACCTCGCGATAATATCTCTTAAATTCAAAATTTCCAATTACTTGTTACTGATTTCGAATTAATCTTAACTGTTATCAATATTGTGACCTTGACTATTAATATCATTAGTCATCTTAACTATTAGTAATAAANATAACTTAACTATTAGTAATACGGCTTACAATGATCTACAACGATACAGATAAACCGTACAGAACAAGAAATGTGGGATGAATGATTCGCCATTCTTACTTTCGATATTCATATTCTCATGTTGTTCTTATTCGTTTCTATTAATAATCCTTATGATGGCTTATATTTGATGCCCTTCTTATCACATTTCCTATCTTGCCTTTGTTCAGTCTCCTTAGATTCTTATGGTAGCGTTGTAAATTCATGAATCATTTTCTTTTCGTATTTCAAACTCTTTTCCTTTTCGTGATTATCTAATCACGACAGAAACAATAAAAACATAAAAATATCCGCAAACTAAAAAAATCTTCGCAAGAAGACAGACACCACAAGCTAAAAAAATGGATTGGCGATACGTATTGAAAGCAATCTATGCAATTGACTCGTGGGCAATTGTTAAAACAATTTGTTACCGTAACTGTTTCGATTAGAAAATGTTCGAATTTGACTGCATTGCGTGATCTCTGTGTCGTCCTAAATCTATACGTTCTATCCATCACTATTCATGATCATTTGACGGCGTTGGGCCAATTTTTTTGAAAAAGTTTTAGGAACTCAGCGTCAATTCTAACGAGTTTCTCATTTACTTAATGTATTTATTCCCTATGTATTGTATATTGCTTGAGCGATTCAATCACCTGAATAGTGTCATGGTATTGAACGTTTCAATCGTTCCTTGCCCTGGTATCACCTTTATTTTAGTTTTTGAGTGATTTTGGAAGTTAGACGCTGATTAAATGTGAATATGAGAAGAATTCATTCCCTTTTTATTGATTTCTTGTACCTGGTTGATACTTTCCGATGAATATCATCACTTCATTTGATTAGCATTCATTTGAAATGGAAATGCAATCTCATTTATTTGGTTCATTCGTCTCGCATACACTTGGCAACGCTGCCAAATCACTTTTTATACAATACACCGTCAATGCACTTTGTTAAAAAATCGTTTGTCAATTACATACATTCAGTCATTGGTTCATTTATTTTTTCGTCAAATCCACCAAAATTTTGCGTCCTCTGTGAAATTCACCTGAATTCTGATCGCGCTTTGATATTACATGAACTTTCTTATGCCCTTATGGCATCAAAAACTTTCGACCCTGGCAGGACTCGAACCTGCAATCTTCGGATCCGAAGTCCGACGCCTTATCCATTGGGCCACAGGGCCACACATAATTGTGGCAGCTTAGCCACTACGGACTATTCAATTTGCAGCCAGTGCTAACAGTGAAAGCGAATTCAGTGCAGGTTTTAATGGATCGATTTGGAATAATACGATTGCGATTGATGGAAACAATGGAATCAACGGAAAGAATAGTCTAAGAATTGATTTTCACTTGAATGACAGCGAAGAGATGCAGCGTTATAATAATGATAAGCACAGCAATCGTGACGAATCTTTTTGTTAATATGTCGTGATAATATCATAATGATAATAAAAACAACAATAATAACAATAATAATAGTAATCATAGTAACAACAATAATAATGGGCTAGAGTAGAGTGACTGAATGATCTCATTTCGATACAATTTTTAGAATTTTAATTGTGTTTGGATTGAATTCTATGAGAGCGCGATAAAATTTGATGTATTTGGAAACTTGTTTTCATTTATCATCTTGAATAAAATCTTGAAAAAGGATTTTTTTTTTCAATGTGATGTATTGCATCAAAAGGTGATAAGTACGTTCGCCGGCAGTAACTTTTTTCTATTTCAAACAGTTGTCATCTCTTTGAGGTTATCAATTTCAGAAATGATACTTCATTTCATTCTCAACGAAAAAATCGATCATCTTTCTTCCAAAAACAATTCTCGTTCATTTCTGTCCTCAGATCTCTTGATTGAACACATTCCTTGATTTCCATGAAAATCTACTCTTTGATAAGAATGTGATTCGTTTCTCGTACGAGAGAATTAGGTTGACGATTAGCCATGCCCGGCTATCGGAGATTGTTTTGTGGATGAACAAAAGAAAAACAAATTCGGCCGATCGATCAATTAACTCATTCCTGAAAGAGTTGCGCAAACATTTGTTCATCACTCTCCTGAAACAGTTGGAACTGACTGACTTCTTGAAATCTCAATCGAAACAACTCATTTTCTCGTGCAAGAAGAAAGCTGAGGCCGTCTAAAAATTCGGATGTCCAAAAGTGCAATTCCATTCACAAGAAAATTAACGACCAAATGAATAATTTGAATAGATATCTAGATATAGCATATGATAATGATGTAATGAATCATTAGATGAATTGAAGTTAATAATAAATTGAAATCGAAATGATGAATTCAAATAATTCAATAAATTATTTTATTCGTCCCCTCTTCTGTACACTAAATTTATATCGATCATGTTGTCATCAAGAGTAAGCATAATCAAAGGACAAAACAGCAAAACAAAACATTCACAAAATATTTCACAATCGAATACGATTCATTCATTGAAATCGAATTAAAATTCGCTTCATCAGTATTCAATTCACATGATCGCACAGCACCTTCATGTAAAGAGCACTTTCGAAGCTAATCATTCCATTTGTTTCCCTCAATCCGTTTCTCATCACAGAATGACCAACCGAAACAAGCAAAAGTGTGCATATGTGTGCGCTTGTGTGCGTCTGCAATGGTGAAAGACATCAGAACAATTTTCATCATCTTTATCGGTGACCTTACAATAAATGCAATGTTTCCGTTTTGTTTCTTCATCATCAGAAGAATACTCACGAGCTTACGGTCACAATAGAATCAATCAGCTGTGCACTTGTTGAACTTTATAATCTTAAAGTTAAGTTATCCTTTGAATCATTGAGCACAGAATATGTACAAAGCAATAGGGTATCGATTACAAAATGAAAACTTATAAGAAGTGTTTTTTTTTCAGTCGTATTGAGTTATACCTTCCTACCATCCTTATCAGCAGTTATCATTTAAGCGAATTACGGTCTTCGGCGCCCCAGTATGGTTTTAAAGTGATGTTGATGATAAGTAAACAATGAGCAAAGAACAAGTCGGCAAATTGATAAATACTTGACAATTTCGAGATAACAAGCATATTATCAACGCGCAAAACGATGCAAAACACACAAAAAAACAGAACAAAACAGCAACAATAACAGCAAAATATATAATAATTAAATTCTTATAGAGTATTTCTTACTCTTCATATACCACTCAGAAGTCCAATGCAACATTGACCCCAATCAGCGCAACATTGCGTACAACAATCACGCTTCTTCTCTTCAGCCTTCTTGGGCGCTAAAGAAAAATTTTTTAGTTTTTAGGGAATTTTAAAGTTTTTTTCAGTTTCAAGCGTTTTCACTCCAATAAGAAATCACTCAAAATTAACGCATGATTTGATCGGATATTCGTCATTTCAAGAAAAAATGCCTTAATGTGCAATTAATGCTTGACATTTTCGTATTGGGACAAATCGAGTTTGATGACTGCACAGAAGCATGAATTAATTGCGATGATCTATGCGAATAAGTGGGGAGCAAGAAATTTTTCTCGTTGAGATGACTGAACCATCAAAGCATAATTCTATCAGGGGATGTCGAATGATCATGAAATTGATCATCTTTATCACATAAAATGAGAAAAAAAACGAACGAAAGTGGATAGGAAATCAAAAAAATTGGCTTACTTGCTGATGCAGTTGATATACTAGATGAAGGAATTCTAGGCTTCAAGGGTTGTTGCATAAAATGGTTGTTTGGAAGTGGCTGATTTTGAATGGTTTCTAATTGTAAGGCATCCGGTCGAGGAAGCACTGTTTGTGGGGCCGTTTTTGGAGATTCTGCTCGAGACATTTCTCGAGATTCGTTCAGCTGAAGCAAAAATTTGGAAGCGAAGGAAAACGACGTAGGGTGGATCAATTTGGAAGCTAACGATAAGGAAAATGACGTAGGGTGAGCCAATTTTTCATTATTTCAGTGCTATTGCAATTTGGTCGCTAAAGCAGATGCATCAACGACCAAATTGCAATAGCGCAGAAATAGTGAAAAAGGCTAACAGAACAGAGAATTGAATTAGGTTTGAATGAAAGCTGACAATGACTTCGAAATTTTTTTTTNTTTTTTTTTGTATTCGAACACAAAAATGGCTAGTGTCTGTGCGCATGTGTTTCTCAATCAATTTATTGCATATGCTCATATGATC